ATTTTCCAAGAAGAGCTTTAGTTTAAGAGAAAGATTTTTTTCCCCCAAGAGAGAAAGACCAACTTTCCCCAAAACTTCTGAACTTTAAACCTTGGCTTTTTACAACCCCATTTTTGCCTCAGGGAGAAATCACTTTCTCCTGCCGCTTGGATTTAGCATTTCAGCTGTCCCCAGGTCAAAAGCTTCCAGAGGAAACTTTTCCTTCCCCATAAGATCAAAGAAGAACTTTTTTACTACCCGTAAAGCTCAAAGATTTTTTTCCCCCAGTTTGCGTTCATAGCCCCCAAAGTTAGAAAATTGAAGTTCTGTCTAGTTGCTTTTTCTACACAATTTTACATTTCTACGTTTTTCCTACAATATATTACTACACTATACCTTATACTTATTTTTCACAGATAGAAATTGAGAAAGGCCAGGCGGTGGTGCACACCTTTAATCCCAGCACTTGGGAGGCAGAGGCAGGCGGATCTCTGTGAGTTGGAGGCCAGCCTGGTCTACAAAGTGAGTTCCAGGAAAGGCGCAAAGCTACACAGAGAAACCCTGTCTCGAAAAACCAAAAAAAAAAAGAAAAAGAAAAAGAAAAAGAAAAGAAAGAAAAAGGAAAAAAAGAAAGAAAGAAAGAAATTGAGAAAGGGATAGAAAATAGAAAATTTTGACAGAAGAGAATTTGCGCTGCAGCGTCGGACATCCTTCCAGTCTGCTTTCCTTTTCTCTTGAGGATAAAACCCCTGCCCTTCAATAATATATATACTATATATATTTTTTCCATAACACTGGCATGCCACTTTCCACTGGCAGGGCTGACTCAGCACTTTTGCCAAAAACTCTGTAATAAAACTATTATTTTCCTTTTTCTATAGTCCCTATTTGTCTTTAGTCCCTGTTCATTCTGTAGTCCCTTTTTTTCTTTTGGTCCCCCCTTTTTTGTCCAACCTTTTTCTTTTTTCTTTAGTCCCTATTATTTTGTCTTTAGTCCCTGTTCATTTGTCTTTAGTCCCCCCCTTTTTTTCTTTAGTCCCTTTTTTTTTTCTTTTTTTTAGTCCCTGTTCATGGCGCCATTCTGTGGGGCGTTTACCCACCAACCCCACAGCTCCCCAGAGTTTTCTTGAGTGTGAGCAGCAGGAAATATTAGATAGAAGGATTTAGATTGTGGAGATGAACAGATAGAAAATAAAGGATAGCCCCGAGAGGGCCTGGAACCTTTTCCAACAGGCCCTGACTGTCTCTGCCCCAGGGTATTTCTAGAGACGCCAAGGGGTGGAGCAAAAGACCTCCTCCCCCAGTACAGCCAAGTGCAGACCATCTCAGACACCTGCACTCAGGCCCGTGGTCCTGATCATCCTCTCTATGTGGACCTGCTGGGTAAAGCCACGAGGAACTTGAAAACGGGCTCCCACAGTGGGGGTGGGGTTAATTGCTGGCCTGGTAGCTTATATCACAAAGCAGGAGGATTGCCACAAGTTGATGGAGTCCAGCTTGGATTATGATGTAAGAATTGATATTCATTTTTTAAAAAAGCTGGGTATGGCAGCTCACACCTATAATCCCAGCATTCAGGATGCAGAAACGGGATCATTGAGAACTCAAGCCAGGCAGGTGTACCTAAGCATCTCCAAGCAGCCTAGGCAACAGAGTGAGACTCCTTCTCAAGCTTTACTCCCTGCTATCATAATAAATTAATTAATTAATTAATTAATAAAATAGAACCTCTGTGTGGTCTCCAGATCACTCATAATTCATTGGACAGTAAGTATGTGTCATTACACTGTAAGGACAAGAAAGTCATTTCTATATAGATACAGGGGGAAAGTCATTTCTTATTTGTTTTGAGACAAGGTCTGGTTATAGAGCCCTGGCTGGGCTGGAACTCACAATGCAGAATAGGCTGGCCTGGAACTCAGAAATCTGCCTGCCTCTGCCTCTGGAATGATGGTATTAAAGGCCTGTGCCACCACATCCTGCCCAAAAGTCACTCTTTTAAGATGAGGCTTGCTGTGTTGTTAGGCTGATCTTGAACTCCAGGCCCAGCCCTCCGTCCTCCACCTCCCAAGCTCTGAGGTCACAGGCAGGCGTCACCACACACAACTGCCGACATGTTTTACAGGAACTGAGCCACTGAAGAAACTTCTTCCTAAAATGTAACTTGAAGATGACTTGGAGGAACCAGGACATTTTCTTGAACACCCATAGCCTGTTGTGGCAGCAGCAGGGTCCCCGCTGTCATCCAGCCAATTCCTCCTGTGGCTTCCCATTTCTCCCTAAACTTCCTCGGAGCTGGCTTGCCGGAGCCAGGGTGTGATGCAGGACCACACATTGCATTTAGCCATCAATTTTCTGGGGACTGGGGCCAGGGACGGAGGCCCTGCAGGACCTCACGATCACACTAGGTGGGGGCTCTGCCCCTGAGCTCCAGCTGGGACAGCCCCTCTCCTGTGAGGACAGCTCTGCCCCTGAGCTCCAGCTGGGACAGCCCCTCTCCTGTGAGGACAGCTCTGCCCCTGGTTTTGTTCTGCTAGGACAGCTGTCTTGCTGGAACGCCTCCTTCCAGGTCCTCCTCTGGCTCCCTCCCTCTGCCCTGCTCTTCCTGCACACCTACAGCTAGCTGGAAAGATGGAGTCCTTGTAGGTGGGGCTTGTGGAGGTTTACATCTAGGCAAGAAGGTCTGTAAACCCAGTCCTTGGGAGGCTGAGGCAGGAGGATTGTCATGAGCTCAAGATCAGTCAGGGCTACAGTGGGACCACCCTGTCTAAAAGAAAAGCCTAAACTGGGGCCTGGAGAGATGGCTCAGTGGCTAAGGGCCTGTGCTGCTCTTCCAGAGGACCCGGGTTCAATTCCAGGGACCCACGTGGGAATGGGGATAAGGGCTTACAACTGCTTGAAACTCTAGTTCCATGGGACACTAAGCCCTCTTCTGGATTCCAGAAGGGTGCGCGCGCGCACGCACACACACACGTTTTTGTTTTTGTTTTTGTTTTTGTTTTTAAATCAGGTCTAGGGCTGGGGTAGCCAGTGGGTAGAGAGCTTGAGTGCTCATCTAGCACACAGAAAGCTCCGGGTTTGACTTGAGCGCTGTGTAAACTAGACATGGTGCCCACCTGTTACTGTAGTAGAAGGGTCAGAAATTTAAGGACATGCTCAGCTACATAGCAAGTTTGAGGCCAGCCTGGGTTACATGAGACCTTGTCTCTAAATAAATAAGTAAAATAAAACACAGCAGGTCCAGTGCAGGGGTGGCCTCCAGGCAGCTGGCCCTCAAGTCACCCTGCAATCAGCTCAGGGAAACCAGCTGGACAGCAGGAGAAGCGGAGGTCTGAGGGAGGCGGTAGCCTGCTGGCGGGGCTCAGGGTCTTCTCTGGAGTCACTGCTGGAATGGCGCGGGTGTGGCAGGCATCCGAAAGTCACGGATGCTGTCATTGTCTCCTGGTCTCTAGGGACGTCCCTGGCAGCTGCTCATTGCGACCTGGGGGATTGTAGGGTTAATTGTAAGATTAACCCTGTACCCACAGAGTCTCAGAGAGGGCACACTCCACGGAAGGCACTGGTGGGGTGGTGGCCTCAGATGCCTCCCCTGGCCCGCACCCCCATGTCTTGGCCTCAGGGCCCCCTGAGCGAGCGCCTGGGCCGGAGGCACTGAAGTGGGAGAGGAAGGAAGCGGGAGCAGAGGAGGCCAAGGCTGTCGCCTCCCAGCCCTGAGAGGGGCCGCGAGTAAACAGGAAGGCCTGGCGGCTCCACGGTGGGGGTGTTCAGAGGGCTGGGGGCCAGGAACCCTTCTGCATATCTGCAGACTGTTCCTTGCTGGGGAAGTAGGCCCAGAGAGGTTGCTGAGCTTCCCCTAGGTCACACAGCAGCTTAACTTAACCTGCCTTTCCAGCATTTGTTACCCTCCCTCGAGTCAAGCCCCTCTCTCTGGCCTCAGTTTCCCCTCTACAAACCTAGAACACGTAGTTCAGAGGTTCTGGAGCCCTGCTCAGGGGAGCCCTCAGCCTCCTGGATGGTTCTAGTGAGTTTTTCATATATATATGAAAAAAATGTCTTCATAAACATATATCTAAGCTGCTTAAATTGTCAGAAGAATTAAGAGAATTAAGGATTCAGAAAGAATCCACTCTTGATTTTTTTCTGAAACCGGTTCTTTCTATATAGCCCATGCTGGCCTGGAGCTCAAAATTCTCCTGAGTGCTGGGGTTACAGGCCCACTGAGACTTCAGATCTTGGGGCACAGGTTGCCACAGGAAGGTCTATGTGGCTCCTGCTGGACAGAAAGTGACTTAGAAGGAGTTTGTTCTTCTAATGCAGATACTCTGCCCCTGGGAGCAGCTGCATTTGGGGGAAGTTGTGTTCTCTCCGGGAGAGACTGTCCCTAGGCCTCTACACCCACACCCTGGGGTTTCGGTCTGTCACTTAGGAGACCTGGCACTGTGCGAGCAGGTGACAAGGTCCATCCTCTGGTGTGTCTGGAATGTCTGCTGCATCCCACATCACCCACATCAGGCAGCTCACAACCATCCCTATCCCCAGCTCCAGGAGATCCGATGCCCCTGGTCTCCCTGGGCAAGTGTGAGCACACATGAGTACATACCAACATGCAGACACACACACACACACACCCCTACACATAATTAAAAATAATACAAATTAATCTAGGCGTGGTGGCACATGTCTTTAATCCCAGCACTCAGGAGGCAGAGGCAGGTGGATCTCTGAGTTTGAGGCCAGCCTGGTCTACAGAGTGAGTTCCAGAAAATCTGGATACACAGAAACCTGGTCTCAAAAAACAAACAACAAAACTAGTCAGAAAGAAAGAGAAAGAAAGGAAGAAAGAAAAAGAGAAAGAAAGAAAGAAAAAGAAAGGAAGGAAGAGAGAGAAGACAGAAAGAAAGAGAGAGAGAGAGAGAGAGAGAGAGAGAGAGA